TGCAGAGCAAAGTCTCTGTAAAATCCGGGGGATTTTGTTTACTATTCAAGAAGGTAAGGAGTGGATAAGCCAATATGGGGAGGTTCAGGCTTGACAGTAGGAAGCTTTTCATTACCGAGAGGGTGGTCAAACACTGGAGCAGGCTTCCAGGAGAGGTGGTGTATGCCCCAAGCCTGTCAGTGTTGAAGAGGCATTTGGGCTTTAACTTTTGGTCAGCCCTGGAGTGGTCAGGCAGTTGGACTAGATGATCACTGTAGGTCACTTCCAACTGAAATGTTCTAAATTACCTAAATGATTATGGTGCATACTTGATACTTCAGAGTTAGGTAAGAAAAACAGTACTGAAAGGTTGCTAATTCCTGTACTAATTATCCAGTTAGTCATTTTGGGTGTTAAAGGCAATCTTCTGTAACGTCTTCTGCTTCTTTATCATCCTTTCTTGCCTCCCTTCTTTACTAGGTAAAGTTTCTGAAACAAGAACTTGAATTTAGAATTCACCACAGAAATACTATTCAGCTGTATGTTGTTACGGTAAAACACAAGGGCCTTTTTAGGCTGTTCCACAAAAATTTATATTACTCAGCAAGCATGTGATTTTAAGATTCATTGGATCTCTTTTTCCTCTATCAGTGGAGAGCTTTCAGCTCACTGAGGTAAAGAATATCAGACTATCAGGGCAGTGCTAAGGATGTTAAAAGGTAGCCTTTATAGTTTAAGGACCTAGCTGAACCCACTGTAGTCATGTTTTTGGAAAAGATTGTGCACAGGTTACGGCCAAAAAGTCACAAACATGTTAAGACTTTTCTGGGTGAACTTTTGAGCCCACTGAAAGTGTAAGAAGTATGAGTAATACCTCATGCTGCACCAGGAAGGGACTTTTAATGTGTGGTTTATGATGTTCAGTCACTGATATCTTCTTAATAAGGACACATCTGTTTATGTCATTTTTCAGGTATGATAAAGCTCATTCTTTTTTATAGCATGTTTCATCTTGAAGTCTCCTAAGCACTTATGAAATCATACAGTGCTGCAGATTCTGTTGAATGTATTCACCTGTGAAACACAGCATTGTTCATTAGCATATAGAAATTGAACCAATAGTTTAGAACAGAAAATGGTGAGGAATGCGTTATCCATGTGAAATTAAATGGGCAATTCAGAACAGCAGAATACAACCATCTACTCTGAGATTTTCCAAGAAGGCTAAAGTTAATACTCTCTTCCTTACAGAAAAAATGACAATAAGACTTAGGTCCTTCTTTTGTCTCTTATTTAAAAAAGTATGTGTCTAACAACATGAATGGCCTCTTGAATCCACCTAGAACACTGGCATTAGTTCACTAATGATACCAGAGGAGAAATCAGTTAGAATTACTACAGAAAGCAACTTGTCTCTGTCAGCTATTTCCTAAGCAATCTCTTTTAAAGAAACAAGACAATTTTTATGAATTACAAATTATAGTAAAAACTTTTCATTCTTCTGCCAAGTGCAAGGCATTTCAATAGTCAATGATCCAAAAGAATTTCAGGTGCTTACTATACTATTAATGTCTCGTATGGGTGCAAATGCATTTCCGTTCTCTACATGTACAATTTTTTTCCTTTTTTTTTTTTGTCTATATCATGAGGACTGTCTTTAGTTTGCAAATGTTCTTACACACTCATGCAAAAATATATGCTTTGTTGTGTTACAAATTACACATTTCAGTGCATATCCTGACTTGTACTTCAAAAGAAGAAAATTCAATTCTTATTTGTTTATTGCATATTGTGCAGAATAAGGCCACAAATCAGAACTGGACGTAACTTCACTGTCACTTGGAGTATTAATTCAACACCAGACTAACTCTGTGCATGTGTATGTTTTGAGAAGTGGATGTTTGTAGACAATATTGTTTGAAAACGAACGTTGCAGATAAATGGAATAGTACGGAGTGTCTTGTGAAAATTTCTGTGCACTGGTCAAAGAGTGTACTTAGTAGTTTTAAAAGGACCTTTTTTATTTCTGTTTTTCACTTCTGTTCCCTCTTGGCCTTTCCAAAGCTGTTATCCTCAGAGTGGTCACGTTACATGAAGTGGGTAAATGTCCACAGAGTTTTGTAATCTCATTCTAGCTATTAGTTTTATAATCCACCCAACAGTCTTTAGATAAAGACGTCTTACAGTCATTCTGACTTGGGGCAAAATAGAATTCTGACCTTAAAATCTTCAGCAAGCCAAGTCTTCTTTAGCTGGAAGAACTTGCTTTTCCTCAATACAGGCATAGGGTTTACTGTTAAGAGAAACAAAAACGAAGGTTAAGATGTATTAGAAATACAGCATTTAGTTCAGAAGATGTTCATTGAGGTCTTGACTCTGTCTGAATTTGTGTAAACTTGGGTAAGCCAGTTAACCTCTTTGCACCCTATTCTCATTCTGTTAGACGGAAGGTGGAAAGCTCAAGGTGATCCACTGAAGATAGAAAGCTCAAGGTGATCCAGGTGATTTTGATAGTCTGGTAGGAGGTGATACATCTGTTAACACTAATACTATTTACAGTATTCTTACTGTGAGAAATAATAGCATTTTTAAAGAAATATTAATATTTTACTTTATTTTACTCCTTCCAAATAGTTGTTCTACCTCTCAGGTACACATATATACGTATCAGCACATATACAGCACAGCCTGCACAGTCACAAACTAAATTTTCTAGTCTTTTCTAGTACTTTGATGACACATCTGTTATGGTAGCAGCAAAATAGCCCTGTTACAAAAATATCATAAAGGCGCAAAAAAAAAAAAAGTAGGAAAGTGTTTGACCTGTTTAAGCTTCAATCAAATTGAATTAATTAAACCTTGTAAATAAATGAATCCCACATCATGAAGCCTATATAGCTGAAGTACTTTGGAAGGAGAGCTTTCGGGAAAAAATCCCAGCCTTCACATTCTGCAGTATAAATGTCCTGTGGAGAGACATAGGACTGCAGTCCCTAGGCTTGCCAATTCCTTATCTGTTTTTGAATGTTAAATTAGTATTTAAAGCTATTTATTCAAAGTTGACTTAACCACTAGAATAGGAAAGATCAGACAAATCAGATGCAAGAAATGAAGTACGAGGAAACCAGAACTCTTTGACAAAGTATTCCTTGGAGTAAACGTGTTGAATAAAGCCAGCAAGTAAATGATAAGGGCCTTTGCGCTCTGGATGTAAGAAAGCAATTTATCAAGAGTACATGAACTCTCCAGTGACCATAAGCCAAGAAGAAACCAAAGTACAGAAGAAGAAGTCCCTATAAAATTATTTTAAATGCTCAGAAAGTTTTGTTTGAAAGAAGCAGTGAGAAGCTTAGGTGCTGCAACATAGTCCGTAAAATGGAAAGAAAATTAAATTTAAACACTGATACTCAGTAAAGTGCATGGTGTCATATGCAATTCCATCATATTTAACTTCACAAGGGGATAAGAGTTGCCTTCATGCTGCAAACCTCCCCTCCCCCCCCCACTGAAATTATTCATGTCACAGTGAATAACATGAAATTCACACAGAAAGGTAAAACAAACTAGCCAGCTCGAGAAGCAATGAATTAGTGATAGAATTTGTGGAAAATCAGAGGACTAATTTTTAAGGTGTTTAAAAGGCTGGGGTTTAGGGTGTATCTGTTTTCTTTTTGTCCTCTACAGGTTAAGTCTCAAGCCTTTAACAGTCCCAGTTAATTCTGCATAGGTTCAGTCCTGGTCATGAGTTAACCACAAATTTTATTGTAATTTCTTTTGAACTTATGAATACTGTAGTCTCTGGGGCTCAGCTGAGCACCCTTCTGCTGTAGGAATTAAAGTTAATTGTGACCTTTAGAAACTAGGCCTGTTTTCGGACTGTATTTATGAAAAAGAATCACTCAGTGATGAGTGGTGTCCCTCAGAGGTCCGTACTGGGACCAGTACTGTTTAATGTCTTCATCAATGACATAGACAAGGGGATTGAGTGAACCCTCAGCAAATTTGCAGACAACACTAAGCTGTGTGGTGTGGTTAACACACCTGAGGGACATGCCATCAACAGGGACCTGGACAAGCTTGAGAAGTGGGCCCATGTGAAGCTCATGAGGTTCAACAAGGCCAAGCGCAGGGTCCTGCACTTGGGCCAGGGCAACCCCCAATATCAGTACAGGCTGGTAGATGAAGGGATTGAGAGCAGCCCTGAGGAGGAGGACTTGGGAATGCTAGTTGACAAGAAGCTCAGCATGGCCTGGCAGCGTGCACTTGCAGCCCAGAAATCCATCCTGGGCTGCATCAAAAGCTGAGTGGCCAGCAGGTTGAGGGAGAGGATTCTGCCCCTCTACTCTGTTCTGGTGAGACCCCACCTGGAGTCCTGCATCCAGCTCTGGAGCCCTCAGCACAGGAAAGACATGAAGCTGTTGGAGCGGGTCCAGAGGAGGGCCACAAAAATGATAAGAGAGATGGAACACCTCTGCTATGAAGAAAGGCTGAGAGAGTTGGGGTTGTTCAGCCTGGAGAACAGAAGACTCTGGGGAGACCTTATTGTGGCCTTTCAGTACTTAAAGGGGACTTTTAAGAAAGATGAGGACAAACTTTTTAGCAGGGCCTATTGCGACAGGACAAGGGGTAGTGGCTTTAAATTGAACAAGGTAGAGCCAAACTAAATGTAAGGAAGACATTTTTTTATTAGGAGGGTGGTGAAACCCTGGAACAGGTTGCCCAGAGAGATGGTCCGTGCCCCATCCCTGGCAACATTCAAGGTCAGGTTGGATGGGGCTCTGAACAATGTGATCTAGTTGAAGATGTCCCTGCTGATTGCATAGGGGTTGGACTAGATGACCTTTAAAGGTTCCTTCCAACACAAACCATTATGCGATTCTATGATTCTATGGGTAGTCCAGGTGATACTTCTCTGGGAAATAAGTGCATCTGTGAAATCTGATGTGTTTAGACAATTCTTTGGGATTATTTTCTTGTCTCTCCTTTAGCTCGTCTCTTATACTTAACCCTTTTTCTTTCAGCCCTGGACAAGCTTAGTACTCAGCATCTCTACCACCCAACCCAAGTGGAGATTGTGCAGTCCAATGTTGTGTTTGACATCAGCAGCCTGATGCTCTATGGTACTCAGGCTGTGCCTGTGAGACTGAAGATACTACTTGATCGACTCTTCAGTGTACTGAAGCAAGAGGAGGTGTTGCATATTCTACATGGCTTAGGCTGGACACTTCGGGACTATGTTCGAGGCTACATCCTTCAGGTAGGAAATAAAGCAAAGTATGTTTCCAAACCCAGTTAAGTGCAATTTTTTTGTACAGATGTAGAGTCACTGTGCACCCCAAGAGGTAGAAGGATATGAATTAAATTTAGTGTGGCATGTTGAATGCTAATGACGGTGTTGGCAAAATAAAATATTCAATTTTTCCTAAGCTAAAAAAAATGCAGATTCCTTCATACTGTAGTATTTATTTGTACTTGCTTACACTTTTTGTAGGAAATACCTTAAATACTGCAAATACTGAGGTTAGCTAGCTGCAAGCCTGCTTTGGTCATCAAAGGCAACTGGCAAGTTTTCAAGGACTACTGTTTGACTTAAGAAACGAAGATCCAAGTCAGCAGCTCCTTCATCTTTACTTTCCGTCTTTAGCAAGATATCTAATAAGGAGTAGATGAAATCGGGGTTGTGATCATGGTTGTGTTGGGAAGTATCCTTACTATGTAATGTATAAACAGGAAAATCCTGGTTATAAGGCCATTTTAAAAAGGTAGCTTTAAACAAAGTGTTATGTGCGTATTGGTTAAGATAAGATAAGCAAACAAAGTAGAAAATAAGTAAACAAAAAAAGTGGACAGGCTTGCTTTAGGAGTATGGTCATAAATATGTATAGTTGCTTATCTGAAGAATTTCATCATCTGTTGGGTTCCAAAGTAAATTATTACATTTTATAAGACTATTCCTAATTGAGAGTCTAGTACTATATGCTTCTGAGTTCTCTTAATTGCTAGTGTCTTTGTGGGAGTCCAAGTCAAAGTTATGAGCTCCACATCGTCTAGAAGTGATCCAGTTATTGAAGTGGACACACCTGAAAAACTTTAAAAATTCTAGTTTCTGACTTATGTCTTTACTTTCTTAGGCAATGATAGCATGCTTAGCACTATACAGAAAATACAGGCATTTTTATGTCTGCTCTGAGGAATTCTGCTTGTATTTTTTAATTCCTCTTCAATTTTCTGTCCTTTGAGCAGAAGAAATAAATTAGCATTACATAATTTTGTGGAAACCTTCATATTCTGTGTTCTAAAATATTTTCTCAAATGCTCTATACATAGATTTTCACTGAAAAGTAAAACAGTCCTAGAGACAGAGTAGTAAAATGACCATTATTTTAATGATGAGATCCTGTTATTCTTATTAGGATATATACAGAATGGAGCTTTTAAATTGTTTTAGGATTCTCTCAGGCATCTATTTTGTAAAAGCTAAATGTTACACATGTTCAAATACAATAGAATCTGTTTTTCTCCATTACCAGCCTAAAACTGACGTGTAAGGATACATCCATCATATTTATACAGTAGATATCTGTAGATGTCTTTATGATATATGTGTATGGATATGTATCTATAGATATTATATATGATATGTAATTTATGTAGATATAGATACTACAGAGATATGTACTGTTATGGCATTATGTGCATATTGCATCATATTTTAGATTCCTGGATTCTGAATGCTACTGGTCAAGACGGCTAAAGAAATGTGATTTGCAAAGGAATACACATAAAGAAATGCATCCTTTCTGAGATTTAACATTAGATAATTGCTGTTTACTAAATGCAAATAAAAGTTAGGCGTAATAAATTACAAGCGTAGACTATAATGCAGTGTCCCTTACAGACAAGACTGACTGGAATCAGTAGTTTTCTTGTTTTAAAGGTCATAGAATCAGCCTTGTATTGATTTTGTTTTAGTCATCTGTAGGAATGATCTTAATATATGCAAGAATGGCTTGTAATATAATTACATAGAGGTTTATACAGAGTGAGATTGTGACCTATGTATCTGAGTGGTGTAAAGGCCTGTAATACACCATTAGGTCAGAGTTCAGTTTATCTGGCTAAAACTCAATCACATTTCAGCCCTCAAGGCATGAATTTTACCATTACTACATTCAACAACAGTATATTGAACATTATGTTAGTTAAAGGAGAACAATTATCCATGAAAGTTAAGGGCAGCTGTTGCAGCCTTGCCACATATTGGCTTCGTTAGTGCTCGGCTGTGGATTGTGTTAGTGGGTGAATGAAGACCTGTGATAGGCGTAGTCAAGTTTGCTTGTTAGTTTAGCTCTCTAATGTCAAAGAATGACAGACTAGTTGAGGTGTGAAGGGAGGCCATCTTGTCCTCAAGCAGGGTCACCTAGAGGTCGTTGCCCAGGGCCATGTTCAGGTGGCTTTTGAGGATCTCCAAGGATGGAGATGCCACAACTTCTCTGGGCAAAAAATGCATTGTGTTTCCATTAAAACTAGGAAGCTCAGTATATGTCAGAAAGGGAAACTGCTTAGTAAAACATATATGAAGAGGAATCTTAGGAACATTAGTCAAATCTATGATGATAAAAAAGTATTGTTTAAAAAGTAACTGTATTGCAACTAGCTGATAAAAAGGAGAAAAGGGACATGCAGGGAAATTTGAAAGGAAATCACAGAATCACAGAATAGTAGGGGTTGGAAGGGACCTCTGTGGGTCATCTAGTCCAACCCCCCTGCC